TCTGCTCTCATCACTCTCTTCCGAAGGTTCAACCTCTCTGTCACGGATCTAGTGGCGCTCTCTGGTTCCCACTCCATAGGCAAAGCCCGGTGCTTCTCCATCGCCTTCCGCCTCTACAACCAATCAGGCTCGGGCCGGCCTGACCCGCACATGGACCCAAGTTTTCGAGCCACGTTAGACCGGCTTTGCCCCAGAGGCTGCGACGGGAACATAACCGGAGGCCTTGATGCGACTCCGCTCCGGTTCGACGGCCAGTATTTTAAAGATTTGGTTGGGTCGAGGGGGTTTCTTAACTCGGACCAGACCCTGTTTTCCGATAGTTACCAGACCAGGAAGTTGGTGAGGTGGTTCAGCCGCGACGAGAAGGCGTTCTTCGACGCGTTCGCTGAAGGGATGGTGAGGTTGGGGGATTTGAGCTCGGGAAGGAGTGGGGAGGTCAGGAAGAATTGCAGGGTTGTGAATGCGAGCTAAGAATTTAACCCCCTGTTTTTCGATGGAGGAGGAAGAATAACCGTAGTGTTTTAATTAATTGCACTGAATTTGGCATGATGGTATCGTCATATTTTGTTAATAGTTTATGAAAAGAACGATCCTCTTTGGTGGAGTTCATCGTCAACCGTATGCATATTGCAACCATGCTAAAAAAAACAAATTAAATCAACCTACTACAGCGTGCAGATTGAATTACTTACTCCACAACGGGGAAGAATTGAAAATCTAGTGCTTAATTACATGTGAAATGATTTGTAATCGTCCAAGGTGCTACACTACGATGACACAATAGAACCTCCTCTCATATATTGCATATGACTCCTTACTTTTGTCTGGTACGAAGACATGCACGGCGACGTCAACCAAAGTAGTGCGCTTGGGAAGGAGGAAGAGGACGAAGAAGACCTAATCTGAGCACAAACAAAATGAGCAGCAGTCGACAGGGGCGGAGCTGATCAATGGGTGCCCCTGGATTCTCTGGACACCAGTGAAACTGAATATATACCAGAGAGCACATATAAAAATAACAAAAGTATAGATGGTTTAGCGGAAAAGGGTCTTAAGGAACCCAGCATGCGCGCGGGTTCGAATCTCGTAAGGAACCCAGCATGCGCGCGGGTTCGAATTTTTTCAGCTTAATGATAGTTTGGTGGCTTATGTTGAGAGAGATGTATTTTCCACCATTACCGATGCATCTATAGGACACCATAGGATTAAAATCGTGGCTCTGCCACCGCCAGTCGATGTGTTTGCATCGCGACGTCTGCTTCGTTTGCTGCAAAAAAAAAAAAATAAATGACAAGAAAATCTTAATATAATAGGGAAAAGGTCCTACGAAAGTTAGCCAGAAAATATCAGGAATCGAAGGCAACAGGGCCGGCCCTGGGGTAAGCCCACCAAGCCCCGGGGCTGGGGCAACCCAGGCCCGGGGGGCAACTAGCCGGTGGCATACATACTTCCATGGGACCTCGCTAGTTTCCCTTGATCCCCCTCACTAATTTCCCAAATAAGTTTTACATGTTCCCTTGCCTTTCTCTAACTTAACCTATCCTATGTTCCATTAACTTCCCTTTCAGTAGGTGCAAATCCAAACAAACCCTAAGTCTTGGGGGAGGTAAATATGTCTCTGGGGTTTTATTAAAGGTTAATTTCACAAACCCCATTTATTTCGGGGGTTTTGAATGTAACCTTCCAAAACTTTGTCTATTTCACATGACCTCTCTAATTTTTGGGGTGTCTCACAAAACGCCATAAACTTCAACCTTTTCTTCCTAGATCCCCTACATACAATTTCATAACTAAAAATTTAACAAGAGAAGAAAATTAAATTTTTTTTTTGGGGGGAATATATTATCTGTAAATAACAATCGACAAAGTTTGAGATTTCTCTTTTTTTTCCTCAATAATATTTTAGTTTTCCTGCAAATTATAGACGTAGGGGTTAGTGAGATGAAGTTAAAATGTAAGAGGGATTAGGTGAGATAAAACAAAAGCTCTAGCAGTGTTATGAGCAACACCCCTCAAAACTCAGTGGGTTATGTGAAACTAGCCCTGCTATTAATGATAAGAATTTCAAGGCTTTTCTCGCCCAAAAAAAAAAAAAACATATTTTAACAGTTGCAACGCGCGGGCTCAGGCTCAGGCTGAGCGACGCGCTGCCATCCGTTCACGATCCCAATAATTAACCACGTGTCCTTTTCTCACCCTCACCGAAATAAAACCAACGGAAACGAACAACAGGAGCCCACAAACCCAAAGTATCCAGAACCTCATCCCGTCGAAATCCCCACCGTCCATCATCCCCATCCGACGACTCACGTCCCCGCAAAATCTCCCCGCCCTATCCGAATCCCGCGACAAAAAGGAAACCTCACGACTTACGACCCATTTTCACCACCGGAAAAGAAAAAAAAAGAAAAAGGAAAATGTCATCATCGTCGATCTCCACCGCCTTCACCACCGCCGGCCTCCCCCGAGCCCCCAAGCGCCCGCAAACACCGCCAGGGCCATAACAAGCCCGGGGGGGAGGGGAGGAGGCGCCTCGAGGTTCGCCGCCGGCAGTCGAGCCGAAGCTGGCGGGGAGGAACCTCCGGGTGGCGGTGGTGGGGGAGGCCGGGGGGAGGGGCCGGCGCGGAGACGCTGGCGAGGGAGGGGTCGAGGCGGTCCTCATCGAGAGGAAAGCTGGACAACTGCAAGCCCTGCGGTGGGCCATCCCGCTCTGCAATGGTCGGCGAGTTCGACCTGCCCCTGGACATCATCGACAGGAGGGTCACCAAGAGAAGATGATATCGCCGTCGAATGTGGGCGTCGACATCGGAAGGACTTTGAAGCCTCACGAGTACATTGGCATGGTCCGCCGCGACGAGGTAAAAAAAAAAAAAAAAAAAAATTTTTCCTCCCCCCACAGCAAATTTTATGAGGTTTTAATTAAAGAGGAATTAGGTTCAAATTTTATGAGGTTTTAAAGATTACATGAACACCAATCTGGACACCCACTTCAAACATTGCGTTGGCTGATCGGTTAATTTAGTAGGTTGAGGAGTATTCTCTAGTAACAGGGTTATCGTGTTTCTTGCCCTTGACCAGGTCCTTGATGCTTACCTTCGGGAGCGCGCTGCTGAGGCAGGCGCGACCGTCATCAACGGCCTCTTTCTCAAAATGGACAAACCAGAGGCCCGGAGCGGGGGGCGATACAAGATATACTACAACCACTATGAGAAGGGCTCAGTGAACGGGGAGAAGAGGGAGATGGAGGTGGATGCGGTAATAGGAGCGGACGGTGCCAACTCAAGGGTCGCCAAATCGATCGGGGCAGGGGACTACGATTACGCCATCGCATTCCAAGAGAGGGTTAAGATTCCGGATAGCAAGATGGAATACTACAAGGATTTGGCAGAGATGTATGTAGGGGATGACGTGTCGCCGGATTTCTACGGCTGGGTTTTCCCCAAGTGCGATCATGTGGCCGTGGGTACAGGGACGGTGACGCACAAGAGCGAGATAAAGCAGTTCCAAGCAGCCACAAGGTTGAGGGCTCGGGATAAGATCGAGGGTGGGAAGATTATCCGAGTAGAGGCACATCCTATTCCGGAGCATCCTCGACCCCGCAGGTATTATACATTTTGAACAAATACATATTCAATACCATCACAAAACCCCGGTGAAATTTGATTATGTTCCTGTGTCAATCTCTGTATAAGATGAGTAAAAATGAATAGCTAACGCACTAAAGAGGTTATTGAGACTTAAAAGTCACACATCTATGAGGAGATTCACCTCCGTTAAGATTTCCATAGACTAGATAATGAGTTTAAATTTCAGGATCTGGCATCAAGACTGAGTGAACAGTCTTTTCCTGTAGCTTAACATCATTAGATTATATATATTTTGGTCTCATTACACAATCAGGAACTGAAATTCTCAATTTGTCCGGTCTATTTATGAGTGTGCATATACAGTTTGTATCTGATTTATAGCATCATTAACCAATTAGACCTGGTTATTTTTACCCAGTTCATTCATTTTGTATTTGTTCTTCTTTTCCTTTTTCTCTTTGCCCTTTGGGGTTCTTTTTTATTGTCTTTAAATTCTTTGGATATAACATATATATAAGAATCACAATTTATGTGCCCTGTTAATAATAGATATAGATTTTTCGAACATGGACGTCTTTATTTACTCGCTGATCCACACATTTCACTTTCCTCCATAGTTCGCACTTCAAATTTTGCATTTCCTGTGACACATCACAGTTCCCTTGGATAGAAATTCTTCTCGAGTCTCACTGTGTTATGGGAAAGCTTTGAAAATAGTGACCACCTGCTATCTCAATCAGGTATCTTTACCAGCTCCCCTCCAAGACCCTCCCATTTGCTAAAGCTTATGGTGTGAGATACTCCTTTTAAGCTGTTTAGGAGCTGAGATCCGTTTGGTTGATGACAACAGACGACCCCGTTCCCTAAAACGACAATGACATACTCCAAACTCCAAAGGGTGTTGATAATGCTCAATTGTTGCCAGTCTTGTAATTCTTGGTTTCTAGATTAGCACCTTAGCGCGAACGCAATCTCCTAATACCTTTTCCTTTGAGAAATCAAACTCCTGAAATCTTTTTTAGGTTTTTGACAGCTTGAACAAATAAGCACCACTAGATGCTTCTGTGTCCTGATCAACATCTTAAAAGCTCCAGATGGTTGTGCCTTTGAAATGTTGAACTTGGATAATACATAGCATGTTATAATTTTTATAACATGTTTGAACTAAAAGATGATTACTATTGGAATTTGATATCTTGTCATACTTGTACAAAAAAATTTGATTACCTAACCACCGAAGGGGCGAAAAAAATCTAAATGAGCTTGTTGTATGTCCTGAACCGTGTAGGGTACTGGACCGTGTTGCCCTCGTGGGAGATGCCGCCGGATACGTCACCAAGTGTTCTGGCGAAGGGATCTACTTTGCTGCAAAGAGCGGACGAATGTGTGCAGAGGCAATCGTCGAAGGCTCAGAGAACGGCACCAGGATGATCAATGAGGCTGACCTGAGAACGTACTTGAAGAAGTTTGATCAAACTTACTGGCCCACGTACAAGGTGCTCGACATACTCCAGAAGGTGTTCTATCGTTCTAACCCAGCAAGGGAGGCATTCGTGCAGATGTGTGCGGATGAGTACGTACAGAAGATGACCTTTGACAGCTATTTGTACAAGAGGGTGGTGCCTGGTAACCCCCTCGACGATCTTAAGCTGGCCGTCAACACTATTGGGAGCCTGGTGAGGGCAAACGCATTGAAGAACGAGATGAGCAAGGTTGCTTTGTGAGGGTGAAGCCTCAAGGTGGAGATCCAGTATTTGATCATTTATATTTGCATGTATCGGCTAAATTCAAGCGGTACTAAGAGAGACTGAGAGAAAAGAGGACCCCCTGGTGATTCAGTAGTTTGTGGGGATTTTCCTCCTTGGAGATGTATGTATTTTTCTTTGCCAAGCTGCTTAACAGTTCGTGCTGTAAACTACTCTGCCTTGTAATATACAGTTGATGACGAACACGCCCTTTTGATTCGTTGATGACTTATCTATCAGATCTTGGGCTTTTAAAGCTTCTATCCTTCTCCTACTAAATTTCCTACAAGCAAATTTAGGAGAGGTGTGTAACGGTATCTTACCGTGTATGATGCGCTTAAGGTCTGTTTACTTGTTATCCTATTATAGTTATAGCTCGTAAAGTGTCTTCAAATGTACGAAATTGATTCTGATCTCACATTCAATTATCATATAAAAAATTCCCATCATTTTACGAATTTCATCCTGCTATGTTTCAAGCTTTTTTTTTGTTAGCCGGAACTTCTCGCAGGCTCCCGGGCAGGTTTGATGCTGTTCTTTTGGAGCTTCAACCTTCAAAAAGTTGATAAATGAGATAATTCAGAAGAAATAAGGGCTAGTAAATAATAAAAGAAGATGCCAGTGGAGACGCAATCACGAGATTTTGATACATTTGCCTAAGGGGGCACACCCTCAGATAGGGTGAATCTAAAAGATAAGGCTGCTAGTTAGTTTAATAGCCATCGTCATCACCACCATCAACATTTTCTTTCCTTTCGTCTTGGCTGAGCCAAGCAAGGAGGAGACGAGGATGGATATTTTCGATGTTGGGCCCTGCAAGGATTCCTACCAGCTGGGTTTCCTGATAGGACAAAGATTCTCGGACTTGATAAGGAGCAGGGTAGTCACTGACCTCATACTCCAACACCAGCTGCTTCCGTTTTCTCGCACCCCTGAAGCCGAGCCGCTCATCGAGTCGCTCTGCAGCAACAACAAGCAGAGATTTCCAAGGTACTGGGATGAACTATTGGGAACTGCTCAGGGGAGCCGCGTCTCAGCCCTCGAGGTGTCACTCTATGCTCTCTCTCTCAAGTTTGCTCTTTCCGACTATTGTATTTGTCATGAAAAGTTTGAACTGATGCTCGTGAGCACGCAGCTAATACTGGTGAACTTCAGAAAGGAGATACTACCATTTATCCCCAAAACAGAGGAAGCCCCCAAACAAGAAGATACAGCCAGTGAGGACTGTTCCGATGTTCTCATTGTAAACGATTCGACAGCCTTCCTTGGACATAATGAAGATGCAAATGTAGCTCTAGTCGGCCACACGTAATTATTAACCATGAAGCATTCTCAAACCTAAATGCAAACAAAGTTACGTTATGTGAGAACTCACAGAATCATTTCATCTGTGTGCTGCAGCTATTTGGTGAGGGTGATGCTTCCTACTGGACTATCCTTCACAGCTTACACCTATGCAGGAGAACTACCAAGCTGTGCTTTTGGTTTTAACAGCCATGGGGTGGTAAGACAAAGGCACCTTTTCCTTCATCACTAAAATTCCATCGGATATTAATCTATGTTGTGTCTTGTTTAGGCATTTACACTAAATGCGGTACCGCCATCCAACGATGAAATACTTGAAGGAGGAATTGGTCGGAACTTTATATCACGAGATCTACTCGAAGCAACTAACATCTCAGACGCGTTGAATGTGAGATATCATTCTTTTTTTGTTCACAGAAGGAAATCTTACAACTATGCGAACTTACTGATGAACAGTGATGTAATTATATCTTGAATCCAGAGGCTTCAGTCATCCAATGCTTCTGTTGGGCACAGCTATAATCTGGTAGATATGCAAGGCCGGAAGATATTTAATGTAGAAACTGCGTCAAACAACCGCTTCTCCATTCATGAAGCTGGAGCTAGACCATTCTTTCATGCAAACATGTACCTGCACCTTAAAGTCCAGCAGGTGAACAATTCGCAACCAAATTGAGAACAACAATGATATAACATTTGCATGCACACATATCATCATTATGTGCTTAAAAAATTGCATGAAAATGTGGAAACACATTAAATTAATATCAGTCAATCGTAATGAAGGTACAAAATGAGAGTTCTATCAGTCGGCAAAGAAGAGCAGCGCTACTTCCAGCAGAGTCCAAAGAAAATACACTTGCTCTTCTTGGAGATTGTGAGGACGAAGAATACCCCATCTATATGACAGGTGTTCTAAACTAGATAAATTTCTAAACGTATCTTTCATCACTTCTGTCACTAGCTTTTGAATTTTCCATTGGCTAATACTTCAGGCCCCACGCTGTACACTCTATGCACTGTGCTTATTGATCTGGATGACCGGACGCTGACAATAATTCAAGGCCAACCCAAAAAAAGGAGACACTCTTTCTTTATTTTCAATATTCTAAGTGCAGGGGCTACAACTAATGCTCTCACTAGAAAGCATAAAGTCTATCTCAACTATTGATGAAGATGTTAATCGATTGGATCAAACACGGCTATCGTCTTGGATTCAAACTTGAACGCATCGATGTTCTTCATGCAGGCTCATAGAGACCCAACATGTGTCCATCAATGCACCGCAAGGCCGCAACCTGTAAAATCAGTGTTAAAACTATGTCCTCTTCTGTGATACTTGTAACAAGCATATACTTGGAGAACGATTACCTTCCCATGGATTTCATGTTTGATGGGACCATCCAGCTCTGCGCCTAATGACATTAATTTTGTAACTGTACTGTTTATATCAGTAACACTGAAGGATAGCATAGACGAGTAACCCTTCTGCATGGGAATATCACTGTTACACCAAAGTCAGTTAGAACAGAAGAGCTACCCTTTCTGAGTTAGCATAGTGAATCAACACAGTCCAATTAAATAATCAAATATAAAACCTACAAAATAGCAAATAACAATGACAAAATAGCATGCAATAAATACTACATTAAAATTTTAACCCCACTCTCGCACACACACAAGAACCTCTGCTGATAACTCAGCCAATGCTGGGTACCAATTTATTAAATTTTGTTGCATCCTACAAATCACAAGTTTGATAAACCTTAAAAATCGGCCATGCATCAGATGGGTCGGACCATACAACAAAAGGATCCGATCCAAATATAGACACAGCCCGACTGACCATGCTGACCAACCTGGCCTCTCCAACAATCCTAGTTTGAGTCAAAAGGTGTCTTTAGATCGGACTCCGCCATAGAGTATTAGTCCCGAGGCAAGGAAGAGAATGTCTAATTTTCTCATCAGAATGTCTAATTGTCTCATCAGCACTGCCTGCATTAAAGCACGGTCATGCGTTATAATGACTTCTCGGATGGTGCCCATAACTCCGCCACCCAGTTGTCATCACATTAAATACATGGCCAGACGTTATAATGACTCCTCGAACGACGCTCATACTTCGTCGCTCTTTTGCTATCACATTAAATGTGGTGTGGGCCGCCCCTCATGCTCGTCCACCGGCTGCCGACATGTGTAAACCGGAAATAGAACTCCAACTCTGTCGATCGGGGTAGATTACCAATTCGCCCTCCACGCTCTACTATAAATAGAGGCCACTTCCACCATTCTAAGGTATGATCTATCTAATATCTAAAACATAAACTGAATTCTGCATTTCGGTACACTGGGGGAAGTTTCCTCTGGAGCCGCTAATGTCTATTATTTGTGCAGTCTTTTCCAGTTTTATCAATCATCAGAGGACATTAAGGGCCCACAATTTTTTCCTAATATCACCCTACTCACAAATTAACTTTTCAACATAAACAAAGTTCAAATATCAGTAGCTTGATCAGCAGTTTGAGGGCTTTACAAGTGGGAAATAACATTTTGGGGAGAGTAGTTATTAGTTTAACAGTGATGGTGCTTCAGAGCTGAATGCAAAAAGATTTATGCAGACTATGTAGCAGACATTTCTATTTTGAAGCAATGGTATCTTAGACACAAGATTTCTTGTGATATAATCTTTTTGTGCACTATCTTAGACTTGTGTATTGTGTCTGTGTTGGCATGCTCATCCGTGAAATTCTTGATATATTTAATCCCAGAGAGAGGCGGAGCACATTCCATTCCAAGAATAAACCAGAGTTCTGAAAAAGGATGGAAAGAAATTGCAAACAACTAGTGGAGATTTCCAATAACAAATGCTTAGACTGAACCTCATATAGAGATATTGGTAAGGCTGGCGAGCTCAAGGAGGTATAAAAATGAAAGGCACATTGGACAATCGTCTACCAGCCAAAAATTGGAACAATCGCTATCCATAGAGCTAGCTGATGAGTATTCTAGATTGAATTTAGTGGCATCTCGAAAATTTATATATAAATAATATCCATTGAGATAAAGAAGAATACATTTGCAGTTTAAATTTTCTTTTCCCACTGCTTGGAGACAGAGTTTAAAGATGATAGACCAGCAGATTTAATTTAATATTCAAATTGGAGGCTGTTGATCAAGCTTAAAAGGGAATCTTGCATATAACTGTAGATTAAAGAAAGAGATCAAGAAGATTCGGCAATATATTTCAAAGGTCTACAGATGAGACAAGTAAATTCAAAGAGGGCCTTGATGAATCTTGAAATGAAACTAGATATTAAGGTGATATTAAGAAGCTTCAAAGGAAGCAACATAATGAACAGAGGAGAACATCCTTCCATATCTTGTGCAGCCTGTGAATCTTCTTCTGCTACTTCATTTTATTAGATCAATCAAAGTAAAATGGCATGCCCCCTTATCGACCTCCTTCCTTCACTCGATATGAAAACGTACTTAAAGTAGAGATAAATCCTAGTATTTGTAATGCTATTTTGAATCCAGACGAATGGAAGTTGATCTAAGTTTAAGCAGTTGTAAGCGTAGTCAGGGTCACGACCTCCTCATTTCTCTTCCAAGGAAGTCTGCAGCATTCCGTTATATCAGTTTCGGTAGTATTTTTTCTCCCTTCAATAATTGTAATTAAATTGAACTGGTTCCTCTACTATGTTAAAATTTTGTGTCATGCCTCTATTCGGGTTTATACATAGTTTTGGGTTGTGCACTGTCTTTTCTTCACTGTGCCTGCGCATTTTATTTCTTTTGGGTGGAGTCTATGAATCTGAGATTTTCAATTTCAATTAGATCAACCAAATGGAAACAGCAAGTTCCCTCCATCCTCCTCCCTTCACTCTCCATAAAAAGTACAAACACGCATCCACATCAAGGAATGATAAACTTAAGTTTAACTAGCTCGCTTCAAAATCAAATTGACGTCAGCAGAAAGGGGGGGGGGAAAAGGGGAATCAATTTTCTAGGTTAGGGTTAAATTGGGTTAAGAAAACACAATGACAATGGCATACCTAGCGGTGCTAGCGGGCGGAGGGGGGGAGTGCAAAAGGGCGAGCTTGAGGGGCCCGGAGTGGAGCTCAGCCCATCGAAGGGTGCAGACGTGGATGTTTGAGGCCCAAAAGCCCTCGGAGTTAGAAACCGAGCCGCCGTTGGAACGCTCCGGCTGTGCAGCTGAAGCAGCCCACCGGGAATGTCCGGCGCGCCGCCGCCGCCGCCGGCGCTGGACGAACTGCCCATTCGAAATTGCTTATGGCCCGGAGACGGGGACCGGCGACGGGGGTGAATCGGGAAGAATCGAGTCCTCTCGAGAAGAAAAATTAGGTCTCTTTCCGCGTTGCCTTCTCTCAAAATTTTATCGAGGGTTTTTGTCCGTATCGGTCACCTCCATTCATCACATTTCTGATTAGTCCAATATTTTGAAATCAGGCCCCCGCATCTTCGTATTTTGAAATTAGGGCCCCAAACAAATCTTTCTAGGTATTTTGGAAATTAGTCTTTCTAGTTGGCAGCTAGTGGAAAGATTTGGGGGACTAATTTCAAAATGCTTAGAAGATCTTAGGAACTAATTTCAAGTTATCCAGATTTGAGTAGCTAATTCAAAATACACAACAAGCACAAGATTTTAATTTTTCTGCAATACTCAAGGTCGTGTGCTAAGGGTTGCCACTTAGCCGTGACAGATGGTTGATATCCATAGTCTGAATGATCATGAAGAAGTTCTCTCGTCAAACCCTTAAAAAAAAAAACTTGTAGAGGAAATATTTCAAAATATAAAGATGTGGGGACTAATCTGAAGCCTATGAAAGATCTAAAACCCCTCTCATCAAATAGATAGGGCCTGGGCCTAACATGGTGAAATATTAACAAGAACTTCTCAAGTTTCTATGGGCTCAAGTGCATTATCCCACGCGGCTCTTGAGTTCCGGGGGAACGGTTATATAAAAAAACGCGCTTCCAAACAACATAAAAACCCTGCTAACCCCCCAATCAATTTCAAATCAAATCCGATCGCTTTCCCTTCAACCTGCCTCAAAACTCCATTATTCCAAAACTAAACAACAAATATGGGAGAACTACTCCGGAAAGCCATGTATGAAAGCAGGCACACCTGCAAGTGGAATTCCCCACCTCCTACCCCCTGCCTCCCCCGCGCATATCCCTCTCCCCGCGCCGCTCACCCTCCCGCGCCCCGCTGCCGACCGGCGCGAGCCGCAAGCGCAAGGGCCGTGCGCAAAGGGACATGCAAAAGACCCTTTCGAAAACCTCCGCTCCTCGTAAACTTCCTCCGTACTGGCACGGCTCGCTACCTTCGAGAATGCTTCTCCCCTCCGCAGTGGGCGACGGCTCCTGCACCGCCCGGTCAGCACCACCATGATCGCTCGTTCCTCCTCTCCGTCTGCGCCCGCCTCCTTGCTTCTTCCTTCCACTTCACCCGACTCCTTCCGCTCCCCCGACGGGAAAATCTACTACGGCTTCGTCACCCCGAGGGGTCTCGCCCTCTTCAAGTCTGGCCTCGGGGTCGAGGTTCCGAAGGATGAGAGGTACAAAATGGGGTTTACGGATCTGGTGCACGCGGTGATGTCGGTGATGGTTTTCGCGGCGATAGCGCTGTCGGATCATCGGGTGACGAATTGCCTTTTCCCGGGGCACAGGAAGGAGATGGATGAGGTGATGGAGAGTTTTCCTCTTATGGTTGGGGTTGTTTGCAGTGGGTTGTTCCTTGTGTTTCCTAACACTAGGTTTGGAGTCGGATGCATGGCCCCTTAAAACTATTAGTAACAGTAGGACATTTTAGCCTAGATTTTTTAAATGTGTTTATTTGTTTGTTAATTTGGCATAATTTGGAATGTACTCAGGAGAGATGCAAGTACCCCTCCATATATATTTATATGTATCAACTTGTGTTTTCTCTATTCTTTATCAGTGTAGAAATCATGGCCTAAAAAAGTTTCCAAAATAGTTAGGAATCATGTTTTACCCAGAATGCCGTGATGACAATGAAAGTAAATACCAGCCCACAATCCATGAACTACTTTTGCATTACTAGAGTTTCTCCAAGTCGCAGATGTCCCACAAGCGACATAACTTCGCAATTTGCTTAAAAGTTTTTTGAGATAAAATAACACTTCTTTCATTTTAGCTTTCAGATGATACCGTATACACGAGGATCAAAATCCTCTTCGATTAGGTGGTAATTGGGGAGGGTCCAATTACCCTAATCATCACCGGTCATAATCATGTTTCAAGGGACTACGACTCCTAAGAAATGAAGTGAAGTGAACACAATTTACTTACAAGAATAAACCCTTCTGCTAGTCAACACTGTTTTCTACAAGCCTATACATCTCTCATATTTATGATACAAAAGCCTTTCCCACCTTACCTACAAATGATTAAATCTCTCTAATGAACAAAAAAAAAAGCTAGTAATATGCTAAACAATGCACCCACGGTACAGCACTGTTACGTAGTCCTGTAGTCCTACACTCATCCCACTCTCAGCAGGTTGTTAGTAGTCAAAAACCCCAGTCAGTTCCTACACCAGAGTTGCGCATGCCTTTGTCTATAAAGCATTCTGAAAGCTTTTGGAACATATACATTCGAAAACTCCCTGTTACGCGATTTTATTCAACACAACATCTTGCGCTTTTACTATGCTGGAGCTTATCCCATAAACATAGCATCTCTCTAGGGCCTTGATAATGCGCAACCACATACCCGTCTTCACATCCATCTATGTTAATCCTGTTATCCTCCACATACTTAACGTCCATTCCTTTCTTCTTCAAATCGGCTATCCATATGCCCATTGCAACATCCTCCAACTTGAACATCTGCATTTTGCCGGTTAATAAGTTGTCAAGCTAAGCAAATATAAACCTCATAATGTACATGTTTAATCAAACAGTTTAAAAGATACAAACAATCAAACAATCACAGCGAACCTGAAAAAAGAAGGAAAAAGTGCATTACCCTCAAACGCCCCTTTTTGTGCTGCTTGCACACTGATTTTGCAATGTCCCCGGACACCACATACCCTGGGCCATGTGCCCAAGGAGGATAAACTTCCTCCGGCCATTCCTTCATTAATAAGTACAAAATAACATGAGTAACAACTCACGAGTTAATGTAAACCATAAATCAAGATTAACCATGAACAACTACAAAGCTAATATGTTGTCATCAATGCCCATTCCTCGTAAGAGAACATTTTTTATTTAGGAATTTCAAGACCAAGGTTACTAGGTAGAGGCGCATTTTGTATTCTAATGCTATATGTCCTTTCAGGGAAACAGAAAAATGAAAAGACGTAAAAATTATTCTAAAGGGTAAGCCTTTTCATGGAATTTTTGCGTCCAGATACATACCTCAGAACTTATGTACCATTTACTGTCAGAATTTCGGTGAGGCTGGTCATTGTGATTGATTCTACCATATAACAGGCCCCTTGTAACATTTGCTCTGTTCAAAGACGAAAGTACTTCATCCACACGGACAAACGCATCATCATCTGTTTTCATAACATATTTGGCTGACACCACATTCGTCTGTTAAAAGAGGAAAAAAGAATTAGCACAAAGTTCAAATTAAGCAGGTCAGATGTTATTCACCAGCAGCTATAATAGAGGTATTTACCCCATAGATGCAGATGGCAAGGGTTTTCCATGTGATTAGACTATAATAATCAACAATTGGCATCAGCTGAACGTCACCATATGTGCGTGCCTCGTCCCAAAGCTCCTCATTCACCAATTGGTTCTTATGCTGTGAGAGAACAAAATTTTCCGTCAGTTCAAGTAGTTACAGAACATGACAAAAACAAATCCTTTTTTCTGATTAACAGCACTGCAGTAAAGAAATAAAAGGAAAAAAAAAAAACATTTGTTAAAGGCTAGTGATGTCATCATAACTGTAATTTAATACCCATCACCTCAAGCCTCATGGATAGTCGGCATTTACGACTAGATAAAGTCATGAAGTCAATTATACACACAGGAACAGATATCTTGTGCTCGCAAACTAATAAAGACGAATTTAAATCGAAGACTATCTACTTGTTTTAAGCGTAAAGATAGTCCGTGTTCTCCAATATAGTCATGAAGTGAATCAGTTCTGAACCAAAACATTAAATGAATCTGCTTAGTAAAATACAAGCTCATACCAGGCCAACAAAGAAACGAACAGCAACTTTGCCAGTCTTCACAACATCATACTGCATCCAAGATCTTCGAACAGCCATTCTCCGCTTGAAATTATTTGCGGTTGAAAAGACTCCGATGAAAAGATCTACAGGTTTATGAATGGGAATAGGGGGTGACTTGAGCATTTCCAAATCAATCACATGCTCCAGCTCCTCAGATGTTGGCAAGCCACTTGCTAACACAGATATCAGTCTAATGTCTCCAGAAAATCTTGCTTCGCTAACAAGCCATGGCTCCAAGCTCTGACCAGGCAAGCAAAAGAATTAGAAACACAATTTGCTTTTGAACTTTTCAGAAACAATCAAGCGGATATGTTCAAAGTTAGTACTTCACGATAAGCAAAGGAAGTTATATGCTTGCCATCAACTGTCATCTGGATCCCTTCCACTCCCATTCGAAGAGTGGCGACAGCTAGATATCCTTGCTTAAAGGGAAAATAATGTCTTGGCTTAGAGCCCTCTTTCATTACAGAAGTTCGCTGGGAAACACTAGAAAGTGTACCATTAGCAGTAATCCCCTTATCATCTTTACCCACCACGGTGCCGCATTCTTCTAAATCATCCACTGGAAAAGAGGAAATACACAATTGAAGAAAAACACCAAGGGAACTAAGAGAAACTAGCAATAGCGTAAACGAAAAGCTAAAAGAGCACGTGTACCACCTGCTAGAATCTATTACTTATTTCATTAACTCGGTGGCTAATTTGTCAAAAGCAGCCAGACGACAAGTTCTACTATAAAGGAGCATCTCACAGTGGCATCATAAAGATCCAGATCCAATACAAGATGCAGAACTATATCTGTAAATTAAGTTCCTGAAATTTGAGGAATATTACCTTTCTTATTATGTTCACGATCTGGAGAAGGACAGCGTTCCTCAGCACCCCAATCACTCGCCAGGGTCCAAGTATTCTGGACAATGACCGGATCATCAGTAAGTTTATCACCATGAATCCGGACATTATAGTGCAACATAATAGGAGGATCCGGTTCTCCTGGAACAGTTGTTCCTGCTAAATCAATCCGAAAATTGCCCATGATTCCTCCAGGAGTTCCAATAAAAGTGATTGAAGAACCTTGGACCAGTCCGCAAGGAATCTTTAGCCTGAAATCACTATCAGTAAACTCTGAGGCATTCATTCTTCTAATGGAATATGGGCACTGTTTCGCTTTAGCTTTCTGGATTGCACTTCCATTTCCAGAAGCAATCCGTTTCTCATCTTCAACTGATACCATAAGTTTTTTCCACACAACTGCAGCCTCCTTGATAGCCTCAAGGGCCTGAGGTAAACCCTCAGCATGACTGATTAAGTGAGCTAAATGATTCCATGTCTGCATAGACTTCTGTTCTCTATCAGAGAGGTTCTGACGAGTAAGAAGACTTGACATTAAGGAATCTGTTGAGACTACTTGGGACTCATACTTTGGTTCTTGAACTGGTGGGTCTCCAACTTTTACCGACTGAAGAGGGACAGAAGCATTGCGATAAAAAGGATTTTGAAAAGCAATTTCCACGAAGGGACTCTCTATTATTATATATCTAAGGACCAGTACCGTGAACAAGAATACTATAACAAGACCTCCAAACCACTTCTTCATCTTTAACTGAACTCTTCACATAAATATTTCAGAACTAGGAGAATGTTGTCTTGCAGCAGTTCATTGAAGAATATCAGAAACCCCAAGCCTCTTAGACATTAATAAGCTTCTCAATAAGAAACTGCAAGGTCAAGTCTGATTCTTCCCCTTTTTTCACGGATATACATCTTGAATTATGACCCAGCATTCACCCAGACAGCTGCTTTTTAAGACTGGACCTTCAATATTAGTCAAAAGAATCAAGCTCGGCGTCAGAATTTTTCTAAGGATGTAACTGGGAGTGGGAGTGCAATGTGCTGCATTGACAGCCCCAAAAATGCTGTGTCTGGCAACATCTTTGATGAAGTAAAGCTGTAACAGAAATGAAATGAAACAGATTATGGAAGTAATTTTTTTTCCCTTAAAGAAAGAATGGAAGTTACCGAAGAATAACTAAGTGTGATTTCCCAAATCAGAGTTAAAAAAAAAGTGCTTGCAACAGAGAGTTGCTTTTACAGATTATGCATGTAGCAGCTCTGTCAGAAAAACAGGCGTCGCAAAGAGTTCGTTCTAAAAGCAAAAACATAAGTCTTGCCTATGAGGACGTTTAACATAGTGTGAGCGGAAGTTTTTCACGTGAGTGGGGGCCACATCCACTCACACGTGAATATCCATTCACGCGAAAAGAATTTGAATAATTTGCTCTCATTTAAAAAATCTTCAAACAATCATTTTGGCATTGGATTTGTTCCTAAGTATTTTGTGAACCTGTGCCCAGCGGGTAAAAGGCAAGTGAACGGGTAAAGGCACTTGAGTCCAGCGGGTAAAAGCAGCGGGTTTCTTTTCTTCTTCACCGGCCCACCAGTCTCTTATAAATACACATGTTTACCTAGGGTTTTGTGGTGTGTGGGTGAAAAATTACAGCAAGGGGAAAAGACTGCGGGGAACTTTTAGTCGGCTGCTGTGGGGAAAACGCAGTGAGAGAAAAAGGAGAAAAACAGAAGCGGGGAGAAAACCAAGGTGTTTTTGGCGGCTGTTTTTAGAAGAGAGATCAAAGGAGAGAGTTTTTTGAGGGATTTACAAAAGAGAGGTTAATTTCTTTGGGTAAAAATCAGATCTCTTTTCTTTGAGACGAGCTTGTGGATTGTACAAGTCGTCGGTGTTCTTCTCATAGTGGAATCTCCCCTCACCCCTCCCGTGGACGTAGGCAATTTTGTCGAACCACGTAAATCTCGTGTATTTACTGTTTTCTGGATTGTTGGCTATTGCTTGTAGGTTCCCTCAATATTCAGTCTTAGAGCTGATGAGAGGAAGAGTGTATATTTCACTTTGATGAAATATATCACTTTCGGTTCTTGTTTCCTTTGAGAAATAAGAATTTCACTATCTATTCTCGTTTCCTTTGAGAAACAAGAATATAGAGGTTGACTTGTGTTTTTGTGACAATAAAAGCCAGGGCTTTCTCTCAAGTGATATCGCTTCCGCGGCGGTGGGCGTGACTCTGCGCCCAACAATTGGTATCAGAGCTGTTATTCGGATTGGGAGTGGTGTAGCTTCTGATTTGAGGTGGTGCTCGGTAATTTCCTGAGAGAAGCGGATTCATTAATACAAGCGGAAAATAGCGTCAACAAGTAAAACAGTTAAAGTGGGAAAATACGAGATTGAAAAATTCAATGGGAAGAATGATTTTTCCTATTGGAGGATGCAGATGAAAAATTCGTTGATTTCGCAAAGCTTTGGCGGGAAAAGAGAAGAAGCACAAGGATATGTCTGATGAGGATTGGGAGGAGCTGGATCTGGAAGCACGGGCGTCGATTATCCTTTGCCTTGAAAGGGATGTAGCTTTCTTGGTAGATGGAGAGGAAACGGCTGCGGGCGTGTGGTCGAAGTTAGAAAGCACCTTCATGACGAAGAGTCTAACAAACCGGATCTATTTGAAATCCAAATTGTATACTTGCAAGATGGAGGAGGGCTCATCAATCCGGGAATATATCAACAAGTTCGATAGGATTATATCGGATCTGAAGGACATCGATGTGACTGTAGAAGATGAGGATCAGGCTCTTCTATTACTTCTATCTCTGCCGAAGTCTTATGAGAACCTGGTGCAAACATTGATGCTTGTGGGAGACAATTTGACGATGGATGAGACTAGAACGGCGCTTCTAGGGGATGACCTTCGAAAGATTGCAACCGGTGACATGACTACTGGTGGTAACAAAGAACAAGCGCAGGGATTGTTTGCTAGAGGAAGGAGCAATGAGCGAGGAAAAGGCAAGGGAGGAAAGTCTAGATCTAAATCGAGACCCCTTGCGGGACGAGCGTGCTTCAAATGCGGTGAAGTTGGGCATTTCAAGGTCGACTGTCCTAACAAGAGAGTAGGTGGGAAAAAGAACAACAACAAGACCGAGAGAAGAGAAGGCAAGGAAGAGGCGAGTTACGCCTCGGAGGAAGGGAGCGATAAGGAATGCTATATTGTTACGGGTAGCGAGGATACCTCCGGGAAGTGGATTCTTGATTCTGGTTGCTCTTACCATATGTGTCCAAATAGGAAGTGGTTTACTACCTACAGGAGCATTGATGGTGGAACCGTATTGATGGGGGAATAACCATGCTTGTAAAATGGTGGGGCTAGGTGATATCAAAATCAAGATGCATGATGGAGTGGTTCGAACTCTAACGGACGTGCGGCATGTTCCCGCCTTGCGGAAGACATTAGACTCCGGTGGCTGCAAGATTGTTACAGAGAACGGAGTAAAGAAGGTTGTTCGAGGTTCCCTAACAGTGATGAAGGGTGTTCGTCACGGTAATCTATATACTCTCTCGGGTACGACGGTGACAGGAGATGCAGCGGTTGGAACTGATGGAAGTGGTGGAGACCCATGTGAGCACACCCGGTTATGGCATAGGCGGCTTGGGCACATGTCAGAGAAGGGTCTGGTTCTGCTTGGTAAGGAGGGTTTGCTGAAGAATCTGAAGAAACCTTGCATGGATTTTTGTGAGGATTGTGTGTATGGAAAGGCGCACAGGGTCCAATTCTTGAAAAGCAATCACAAGAGCAGAGGTATACTAGATTATGTGCACACGGATGTTTGGGGTCCGGCTCAGACAACTTCCAAGGGTGATTCCAGGTATTTTGTCTCGTTCATAGATGATTATTCTAGGTATGCTTGGATTTATTTTCTTAAGCATAAGAATGAGGTATTCGAGACATTCAAGAAGTGGAAAGCAATGGTTGAGAAGAGGACAGATAAGAAATTGAAGACACTGAGATCTGACAACGGTACAGAGTATACAGACGGTGCTTTCAAGGAGTTCTGTGATCAGGAGGGCATTATTCGACACTGGACAGTCAGGTCAACACTACAGCAGAACGGGGTCGCAGAGAGACTGAACCGAACATTGCGGGAGAAGGCAATGAGTATGCGATCTTATGCTGGATTGGGCAACGAATGGTGGGCAGAAGCGGTGGCTACAGCATGTTACATTGTGAACCGTTCTCCACATTCTACACTAGATGGTGATACACCCTATAGGGTGTGGTCAGGGGAACATGCAGATTATGAGAGGCTCAGAATTTTCGGATGTACCGCCTATTATCACGTCAACGAGGGAAAGCTTGACGCGAGGGCCAAGAAGGCGATATTCTTGGGGTATGCAAAGGGCGTAAAAGGCTACCGCCTTTGGTATACAGAAGATTCGAAGTTCGTGATCAGCAGGGACGTTACCTTTGATGAAAAATCCATGATTGCTAGGGCGCCCAAGGATGATGGTGTTGGGACTGTTATACAAGCAGGTACAAAAGCTGGGGGCTGATCAACCCCTGAAGCACTATGGGCATGTTAATTTGGTTGAATACGCACTCTCGATGGAGGAAGACGAGCCGGTCTCCTTCAAGGAAGCTATTCGGGATAAAGATAGCGAGAGTTGGTTGGCTGCGATGGAGGAGGAGATGGAATCTCTTCGGAAGAACCAAACATGGGAGGTGGTCCCATTGCCTGTAGGAAGAAAAGCTATTGGTTGTAAGTGGGTGTATAAGAGAAAGGAAGATCCTTCAGAGCTCGGTGGTACAAGGTATAAGGCGAGGCTAGTGGCTAAAGGGTTTGCACAAAGAGAGGGTGTGGATTATAATGAGATATTTTCTCCGGTGGTAAAACACACTTCTATTCGGGTGCTATTGAGTATTGCTGCTCATGGTGATCTTGAGCTGGAACAACTCGATGTTAAAACGGCCTTCTTGCACGGAGACTTGGATGAAGAGATCTACATGCATCAACCTGAGGGCTACAAGGTTGAGGATAAGGAGCATCATGTATGTCACTTGAAAAAATCACTCTATAAAATGAAGCAATCTCCTCGGCAGTGGTACAAGCGATTTGACTCCTTCATGCTATACATTCGGAAGCTTCGTGGAGGTGATTATATCTATCTCCTTTTGTATGTGGATGACATGCTTATTGCTTCAAAGAGCAGGGTGGAGATAGATAGGCTGAAATCTCAACTTGGTAAAGAGTTCGAGATGAAGGACATGGGCGCTACTAGGAAAATACTGGGTATTGAGATTAGAAGAGAGCGGGCGAATCGGCGATTGTTCTTGAGTCAGAAGGGCTATATAGAGCGGGTGATCACGAGGTTCGGGATGCAAAGTGCTAAGTCGGTGGCGACTCCATTGGCTCCACACTTCAGGCTTTCAGGTAAACAATCTCCCACTACAGCGGAAGATAAGGCACACATGGAGCGTGTTCCTTATGCTAGTGCAGTTAGCAGTTTAATGTACGCAATGGTGTGTACACGTCCAGATATTTCACAAGCGGTTAGTGTGGTCAGCAGGTTCATGGCGAATCCGGGAAAGGCGCACTGGGAAGCTGTGAAGTGGGTCCTGAGGTACTTGAAAGGTACCGTGGATACGGGTCTGTATTTTGGTGGAGATACATGTCAGATTGATGGGTTTGTTGACTCTGATTACGCGGGTGATCTAGATAGACGACGATCTACTACTGGTTATGTATTCAGGATACATGGAGCTCCAGTTAGTTGGCGATCGATGTTGCAGGCTACAGTGGCACTTTCTACTACAGAGGCCGAGTACATGGCCATGGCGGAGGGAGTGAAGGAAGCATTGTGGTTGTGGGGTCTTCTAGACGATTTGGGAATTGAGCAGGAAAACGTAGTGCGATTCACTTGGCAAAGAATCAAGTTCATCATGCTCGTACCAAGCATATCGATGTCAGGTATCATTTCGTGCGGGATTTCATAGAGGAAGGTGATATTTCTCTCATGAAGGTGCACACGAATGAGAATCCCGTAGACATGTTAACCAAGGTGGTCACAGGTAGCAAGTTTAAGCATTGCTTGGACTTGCTTCGTATCAGCTCGTGTTGATTTGCCCAAGAGGGCATGGCCCTTCGGGGTGGTGATGGGGTGAGGTGGAGACTATGATGGAGAACAATACCTGAACTACGGTTAGCTTGATCCCGGTG